GAGATTAGTATGGCACAGGCAGGTGAGGCTAGACTAGACCAAGGTACTATATGTGGAGGTCAAGGAAACTCACCTGGCTAGATCCTAGAAAAGGAAGGGAAGTTCTGGCAGGGTAAAAAGGTTGGATTTGGTGCAGAAGGGGCCTGAGGGTGGTAGCAGGTAGGGCATGTTTGAGTGGAAGCCTAGAAGGTGCTTCAAGAACAAGTGGGGTGGCCAGTACTGGATGTGGGAAATGGGCTAGATCTATTAGGTTGGGGAAGTATGGATGGAAAGGCCAGAGACTCACCCACAGCTTGTCTTTTTATAGATTATGATTTTGTAACCCACTCATAAGTCTATGTCTGGCCCTAGATTATGAACATTTCCTTTATTTTTTTCTACAAATTTTATACTTTTATGTTTAAATGTATTACCTGAGTCTGAATTTTGCATATAGTATGATGTCTGGGTTGAGGTATATTTTTGTTGTTTTTTAAAATATTATTATTTATATAAATGTTTTACTTGCATATTATGTTTATGTACCATGCATGTGCCTGATTCCCAGAGGCCAGAAGAGGGCAACTAATGTTCTCGGGCTGTAGTTACAGATGGCTATGATGTACCACGTGGGTGCTGAGACTCAAGATCATCTAGAAGAGCAGCTGGTGCTCTTAACCACTGAGCCACCACTCCAACAACCTGAGGTGCTATATAGGTGTTCAGTTGTTTGGTGCCCCTTGATGAGAAGGGTATCCATCTTCCATTGAAATGGTTTGTACTGTTACCAAAAATCAGCTGGGGATTAAGGCTATGGGTTGGTGGCAGAGGCTTAACATGTGCTCCCTAGGTTCAATTCATAGAACCATTAAATACAACATAAGCAAGAAATCTACAGGGGACTTGGGTCTATTTCAGAGTTTACCTCTGTTCATGGATCTGTGGAACTGTCCTAATAGTAGTAAAGTATTGGTTACTATTCACTATATACTAAAAGCTTCCACAATGAGAAAACCAATTCCTGTTTCCTTTTCCTTTTTTGCCAAGACTGTATTAGCTATCCTAGAGTACATTTTAAAATAAGCTTTCCAGTGTCTATAAAAATTCTTGCTAGATAATGTATTAAACCAACAGATCAATATGGGATAGAATCTTCACTATGTTGAGGTTTCCAGTCTGAATATAGTATACTTAACTCTGTTTACATAAATCTTCCTTCCTTTCAATAGCATGTCATAGTTTTCAGTATATAGAACTTCTACATGTTTTTATTATGTATTTGTGTGTGTCTGTCTGTATGTGTACCAATACAGGTGTGGAGATCAGAGGACAATACACAGGAGTTGCTTTTCTCCGTCCACCATCTGCATCCTGAAAATCAAACTTAGGTCATCAGACTTGCCAATAAATGCCTTAACCACTGAGCCATCTTGCCACCTCCTATATTTTCATTTCATTGGGGTAACTATAAATGGTACTGTTTTTAATCCTCTTTCTGCATGTTGTTAGTATTTATACTGATTTTTACTTTTATGAACTAAACGTTATGCTTATCAAATTCATTTACAGTCTAGATCTTGTAATATCTATTTTTTTTGAGATAGGTGTTGGGATAATCTTTTATTAGACTGTGTGAAGTTGTGTTTCTGTTTAACCTCACTGGCCTAAGGTACCTTCTGATTGGTTTAATAAAGAGCTGAATGGCCAATAGTTAGGCAGGAAAGGATTGGTGGGACTTTTGGGGAGAGACAGAAATTCTGGAGCAGGATCTGAGAGGTGGAGATTCACAAGGGAGATGTGGAGGAAGTAAGATGCACAGTACTGAAGAAAAGGAACTAGCCATGTGGCAGAATATAGATTAATATAAATGGGTTAAGTTTCAAGAGATAGTTGGGACAAGTCTAATCTAAGACCAAGCTTTCATACTTAATAAAAAAGTCTCTGTGTCGTTATTCATGAGCTGGCAGTACAAAGACCAGTTACAGAAAGGGTCTCATATATTCACAGGCTGACCCTTAAACTTGCTATGTAGCTGAAGATGGCTGTGACAGCCTTACCCTAAAGAGCTAGGATCACTGGTAGGCATCAAAACTGGTTTATGTGGAGCTGGGGTAGAACATGGGGCTTCTTACAGGCTAGTAAGCACTCTACTACCAATGCATTTACTTTCTCAGCCACAGAAGCCTTAAAAGTGAGTATTTTAGGATTTTCCCATACAGACTGTCTTGACATGGACAAAGCTATCTTTTCCTTGCTTTTCTTCTTACCTTCCTTCTCTTCTGGCATCGATTAGAACTTCTAACAGTATAATAATTAACAGCAGTGAGAATGGATCCTTGCCTACAAATCTTAGGGAAAGATTTCAGTTTCTCACCACTAAGTACGAAGTTTGTGGTTGCTCTTCATCAAATGGGATAATTCCTCTCATTCTGCAGGTGTTTAGTCATTTAACCAGAAATGGGCATTAGATTTTGCAAAATACTTTGCCCAACTAACCAATATAATCTTACAATTTTTCCTGTATACCTTGCAAATATAGAGAAAGTTCAAGGCAAGGCTGTTGTAGTGGTTTAAATAAAAATGTCCCCCATAGGCTCATATATTTGAATGTTTAAGGAGTGGAACCATTTGAAAGGATTAAGAGGTGCAGCCTTGTTATAGTAGATGTGGCCTTGATAGAGAAAGTGTGTCAGTGGGGGGATGGGCTTTGAGGTTTCAGAAGCCCAAGTCAAACCCAGTGGCTCTTTCTTCTTCCTGCTTCCTGCATACCAGGATGTAGAATACTCTTCAGCACCACGTCTGCCTATGTGCCTATGCTTCTTGCCACGCTGACAGTGAACTAAACATCTGAAACTGTAAGCAAGCCCCATGGTCATGGTGTCTCTTTACAACAATAGAACACTAAGACAGTCGTTTTATTCTTTTGAGGTTTTCTGAGATAGGTGTTTCACAAACTCGGGCTAACCTTGAACTTAGGGCAATTCTGTCTCAACCTTACAAGCACTGGGATTATGGGTATAGGCTACCACATTCAGTTCAATTTGTAATACTCTGTGTGTAGAGGGTATATGTACATGCCATTGTGCTCAGGTGGAGATCAAAGGACAGGCTGAGAGAGAGCTCGTTCTTTCCTTCCACATTTAGATAGGTTCTGGGGATCAAACTCAAGTTATCAAACTTGGTGCAAGTGCCCTTACCTGGTGAGCCACCTCACTGATCTACAATATAGAGTATTTTTTAAAAGAAACATTTTAAGAAGAGAAACAACTAACTGATACAAACAATGAATCTGATCAGGCAAATGAGGCATTTAGTGATTTCTTACACTAAGACTTTAATTTGTCTCACATTAGCTTACCTAACTGATCAACCATCAAAAACACATCATAAGTTTAATATAATGTATCAAAGTGGGAAATACCAGTAACAAGTTTTAAGTTGGTTCTCAACTTATAAAATATTATTCCTTGAAAATTTACACTCAGACATATTACAGCATCATGGTTAAAAGTTTTGTCATTTGTCAGCTAATGACTTGAGCTAAAATATTTAATTCCTATGTAACTGTCCACATGAGAGAAACCAGAAGTATAGATGTCTGAGAATCACTTGTACAACATCTGTATACAGACTTAACAGAGAAGAGAGTAAGGAGATAAAATGGAAACAAGGGTTCACATAACAGAAACCAGAAGTCAGGTAAACAGTACATATAGACACATTTTTTTTTCATTAAGACTGAAAAGCTTCATAATGTTAATCTAACAGAGAAAGGAGTTTTAGGAATGAGTTAATCCAGAAAAAGGATCTAATTTAAGATACCAAGATTTGAAGTAAGTTCCAAATATATTCTTAGAAAACACAAGTATATAGAGAAATAAATATACTTTCTTGGTTGGCAATTTAAATTCCTATAAAATAGGTTCACATCAAAATAGAATCTGGTGAAGATAACTGTCTTGGTCAAATTCTATCTATTGCTGTGGAGAGACAACATGACCACAGCAACTCTTGTAAAGGAAAACATTTAATTGGGGCTGACGTAAAGTTTAGAAGTTTAATTTGTTATCATCATGGCAGGAAGCACGGAGGCGTGCAGGCAGACATGGTGCTGGAGAGGTAGCTGATTTCTACATCTGGATCAGCAGGCAGCAGGAAGAGAGCCACTGGGCCTGGCTTGGGCACTTGAAACCCCAAAGCCCACTCCCAGTGACACATTTCCTCCAACAAGGCTACACTTCCTAGTATCACTCCCATAAGCATTAAAATATGAGCCTATGGGATCCATTCTTATTCAGACCAAGGTAACTCTCTAAACTCTTCCAAATAAAATGAAAGAAAATAATCTTGACACTACCTGCATTCAGTTAGCAACAAATAAGTTTTCTCCTATTGTAGGACGTGGAAATAGGGAGGGCACCTACCATACACAGACCAGAGAGGATTAAGAGAGCATCTTCCTTAAATGTTGTGAAATTTTAACAGTGACAAAGTGTTTCTCAAAATACCCAGAAGCCTTAGCAAAATAGATGCTGACTGTATAGAATTATGAACTATTTAGTTATATGAATTTTTATTTATTAGTACTACTGTGTGTTTATATACGGTATGTGTGTGAGAACGTGTACTATGAAGGATGTGTGAAAATTAAGACAACTTGTGGAGTGGGTTCTCTCCTTCTACCGTACAAAAAGTGCCTCTACATGCTGAGCCACCTTGGCAGCCCTGGTGTGGCTGTACTGAGTGGTTTTAGGGATTACTGGTGGGCCAAAGTATTTTCATAATTCAAGTTATACACAATTTTCACATAGAAAAAAATTACCCCTTGCTCTGTGTACCAGTTTTTTGAGACAGGGTCTCATGTAGCCAAGCCTGACCTTAAATTTGCAATGTAGTAGATGACCCTTGTCCTCAATCTTCCATCCTTTACTTCCCCAGTGTTGTGATCACAGGAATGAGGCGTCACATCCCCAATCAGAACAATACCTTAACTCATTTCTTGAGATGCACACTCCCCTTACCTTCCGGAGTTCAACTGTCACTTCATTTCTGTGTCTTCGCATTGTCTACAAATAAAAATAAAGATCACATTAGTATCAAAGTATTAGTACTGCTAATATGCAAATTGTTTCTTTTTAAGAATCAACTTAATCTTCTTAAAAGTTTTTGAGGTTTATTTTATATGTACGTTTACCTGAATATATGTCTCTGTATCACATGTATACAGTGCCTACAGAGGCCAGAAGAGGGCACTGAATCTCCTAGGACTACAGAAGAATGCGAGCCACCAGGTGATGTCAGGAATTGAACCTGTATCTTCTGCAAGAGCAGCCAAAGCACCTAACTATAAGTCATCTCTTCAGCTCCCAAATTTAATCTTAAAAATTAAAAACTATTATTTATTTAATCTGTTTGTTTTTAAGACAGGATCTCACTACATAACCCAGGCTGGCCTTAAATTCAAACTCCTCCTATTCCAGCTCCCTTCCAAGTTTAAGATCATAAGCCTGTGCCATTGCATCTACCTGATCAATTCTTTTTTAAATAATAAACTGCAATTAGCTAAAAAAGATGACAACTGAGCCAGGCAATGGTGGCGCATGCCTTTAATCCCAGCAGGTGGATCCCTGTGAGTTCAAGACCAGCCTGATCTACAAAGTGAGTTCCAGGACAGCCAGGGCTAAACAGGGAGACCCTGTCTTAGAGTGGGTGGGGGCTGACATTGTTTTATCAAACATCTGTTGATTGATTTGTATAAACTGAGGAGTAGATTGGCTATTAATGAACTACTATTCTATCTAAACTGCATGTGTATGTTTTGTTGCTATTGTTGGTAGTGGTGGTGATGGTTGTGGGGGGGAAGGTGAGCGTGTGAGCTGTGTCCTCGCTTCTGTATATTTTGTGTAGGAAATCTAAACTGCCTTACTCTCTCCTATCTTGTCTCTTGACAAATACCACAGAAACGATCACCTGTAGTAAACTCGTGGGTTCTAAGAAAGGGGGTGCCGTTAAATTCCCTAGGAAGAAAATGGACATAGAATCAAGAATGCCCACACCCTCATCCACAAGCTACCTCATTCTTCCAGTAAGTTATAGTTTTGCTTAAGGCAGTCAGACGAGGCTTATAACCAATGAAGTGATCTCTAGTGATTCATATTTCAAAGTATCGTGCAATTTGCACTTGATTACAGCCTGGTCCTGTATGAGCAGCTGCCACATGCTTCTGCTACCATACCTTCCCTACCACGATGGACGCTACCCCCTCCATCTATGAATCAAAATAAATTCTGCCACCTTAAGTTACTTCCTTCAGGTACGTGCTCACGGCTGCTGTAACAACCCATGCAGTGCAGACAGGCTGTTGGAACTGGCTTGCAGGAGGAATGTAAAAGAGTTTACAAACAGGTACTAGGGAGCAAGAGCACATTCTGTTAGGAGCCAAGGAAGTCAGAAATTATGATGCCAGCAGAAATAGAGGTAGTAAACATTGTGTTCACGAAGTTCCATAGGAAAACAAAGATTCTATAGGAACTAGACCAAAAGCTAACCATGTTACATTCTGGGGGAAAAAAAATCTGACTACATTCTATCTGAGAATTTTAATGAGGCTGAATTCAAAAGTAATGAACTAATTTGTTTGGAGAAGGAAACTTCAAGATATCCTATCATTCAGGTTACTGCATGGGTGGTGCTCATTGCCTTTAGCCTGCTTTATAGCAAGAACTCTAAGCAGAAAACAGAGAATATGTAAAATGTGCAATTTGATAAGGAAAAGGGTGTTAGAAGCAGCAGACAGACATGACAAAGCTGCTGCAAATGTTAAGGAAGTAAGGGCAGTAAAGAAGAAACTGCACACTGTAATGACACACTAAAAATAGTTTTTGTCAGGCTTAAGAGTTGGCTCATGGGTTAAGAGTGTTTGCTGATCCTTAAGAAGATGACAATTTGGTTCCTAGCTTGCATATTGGGCAGCTCATGGCCACCTGCAACTCTAGCTCCAGGAATGCAAACGCTCTTCTTGTTTCTGAAAACAACTACACATCCATGGTGTTTTAATGGCAACATCCCATCTATAAAAGACTCAGCATTGTAAAACTAAACATTTGTTTGAAAAACTCATTTGACAGCAGAATGTCTGAAAAACGAGAATACCTCTGTAAGAGTCCTCTGCTCAAAAAATGGCTGCCTGGAGAAGTCTACTGCCTGGGTTAAGCTATGAAGACATGTGGCCACTACAGCCACAGCAGAACTCGGAGTCCAATTTTGCAGGAATGAAAAATACAAGGGTTCAAGGGTCATGAAGACTTACACCAATGTTTCAGAAGAGGTCAGGCAATGTGTGGCAAGAGCAGATTCACTGCAAGGAGAACTATGTGGCCACTGTATAAAACTAAGGTAAAGCCTAAATTTCAGTGATGACCCCAATGTGCTGAAAATGTCAGCAATACAGGATGTCTACAGAGAGAAGCTGGTCCAAAAAAGAGGCCATGTGTGCTGCAAGGAATAGAGGTGTAGAGTGAGGTCACCTCAAGACCAGTGGGACCCACATAAGGGTTCTGATGCCAGACATGGGATACTGGGCTTGGTCTTTCCATGTTAGGTCTCCATTCCTCCCTTTGGAATAGGAGTGATTATTCTCTGTCACTGTAGACTGAAACCTGATTTCTTTTTAATTTATAGGGACTCACATTTAAGAGATTGCCTTGAGTCTCAGAAAAGGCTTTTAGACTCAAAAGATTTTTAGACAAAGCTGAAACTGTAGACGTTGAGCTGTATGTATTTGACCATTAATTTATGGAGAGCCAGTAGCAGAATGCCATGGTTTGAGTATGAAATGTCCCCTACAATCTCATGTGACTGCTAAATTCACTTTCTCACTAGTTAACTTCCCAAACAAGTAAGAAATTGGCAAGATGAACTTTGAAAATCTTCCAATTATATACCTCAAATGACTCCTTCAGATTTAAAGACAAATGCGTTACTTACTTACTTACTTACTTACTTATTTATTTATTTTTAAGCAAGAATTGCTAGACTGGGGGTTGGGGACCAGACAAAACAAGGAAGAAGTAACAAAGAAAAGAAACTGATGGTTCAGTGGTTAAGAACACTGATTGTTCTTGCAAAACAAACAAACAAACAAACAAACAAAAACCCATATTTGATTCCTGGCACCCACACAGGGGCTCACAACTATCTGTAACTCCAGGCCCAGGGGGATCCAATGTCCTCTTCTGGCATCTGCTAGCGCTGTGCACATGTGAACACAGATATGCAGGCAAAACACTTATACATAAAATGAAAAACAATTTTAAAAAGAATAAAAGTTGATAAAACTGAAAAAAGGCAAAACAATGAAATTCAGTTCTCGATCTATCTGAAAGCAAAATCAGCATAAGTGACAAAACACAGAAAAAAAATAAACACAGAAAGAAAAACAAAGGAGGTCACAAACTTCTTATACTGGAAATCAAAATGGCAGTAACACGGTCTATAACATAACAAGAAAAAGAATAACTGGAAATATATGAATCTGTTAATTTAGATTACCTGGTTGAGCTGAAAACCAAATTACTATGTCTTAAACAACAGAAGAAGTTAACAATACTATAACTAATGATGAAATTAAATTTCATCATTAAATTAAATTTGTAATTTAAGTGTTTTCCTGTCAGATTTAAATGGAGAAATTTTCTAATGTCTGGGGGAAAAATCATAACATCACCTCTTTTCAAAAATAAGACAAGGTAAGTAACAAGAATACTACAAGCCAATATTCCCTATGGCACAGATGTGGAAACTCTTAAGCAAAAAAATTACAAAATAATATTCAATATATAGTAATTCTTCCCTATCAGGAGCTTTTCTTTCCAAGCTTCTACCCACTGTCAACTGCAGTGTAAAAGTATTAAATGGGGGCTGGGGTGATTGGTCAGTGAGTGAGAGTGTTTGTTGTGCCAGCATGAGGACTTGAAATTAAAATCCAGATGTTACTCCTGACACACACACAAGCGCGCGCACACACACACACACACACACACACACACACGCACACACACACACACGCACACACACCCTGGCATGTCCATGCATGCCTGTAGTCCAAGCATTAGAAGGTGGAGAGAGTCTGGCCCCAGCAACTCAATAGCCAGCATAGCTGAAATGACCATGTTACAGGTACGGTAAGAGACTGTTTCAAGTGAATAAAGCAAAACATGCCAAGTCCTTCTATAGCTCCCACTCATAAGCCAATAAGTACACACAATATATACAAATTCATATAAAGCACACAAATTCAATGAAAAAACACACAAAAAAACTATTCTGTACCATTCTGAGCAGCATGATAAATGCCACCTTCTCATCCGACAAAGAATCCCTTTGTTCTGTTTAGTAATTACTTAACACCATGTTAGCTATCTCAGTAGCTGTGTAGCATTGGACTGTGTTCAGGTAACCCTCATGTGGCATTCCAATGCTATATTAAAATGCCCAGTTGTCTTCATTCACCCTACCTCACCTCATCTAATCTCATCTTGTAGGCAGTGAGCCACCTCAAATCATCATCACAAGAATACAATATGATAAAGTATGTTGAGAGAGAGAGATAAGCCATGTAAACATTATTATAATTTATTGTTATAGCTGTTTAACTTCTGCAAATCTCTTACTGTTCAGTTAAACAGATTATCAATATTTATATATAGGGGAAAGTTAGTTATATACACAGTATAATAGTATCCATACCACAGTTTCAGATACCAGTAAAGATCTTAGAACATAGTTCCCGAGGGTTGTGTGGGGGCACGTGGGCAAACAATGACATACTGTACAAAACTATACACCATAACCTAGTGAACTTTACTCCAGAATCCAAGACTGTTTCTGTATTAGAAAACTAATCATTGTGAACAAAAAAGGATAAAATATTCGACAAAATTCTATAGCCAGCTGGGCATGGAGGCATACACCTTCAATCCCAGTATACAGGAGTCAAGGGGCAGGCTGCTCCCTGGGAATTCCTGGCCAGCCATGGATACATACCAAAACCCTGCCTTAAAAACAA